TGGAGTCTTTTGCTCACATAGTAAATTGGCAACTGTACCTTTTCTTCTTCCCTTATTAGCACGAAGCTTACGACGTGTTGGGACACGGAGATGTATAGGCTAAGCTCCTCATCGAGGTTGGGCTTTGATAGGATTGGGAGCTTGCCCAAATGCTCCTTCAATTTCTGGAAGGCTTCTTCACATTGTGGTGTCCACTCGAAACGCCTACTCCCTTTCAAAGCATCGAAGAAGGGGACGGACTTGTCTGTTGCTTTCGATATAAATCTGTTTAAGGCGGCGACACATCCAGTCAACCGTTGCACCTCTTTTGGTTTAGTCGGGGACCACATATCCTGCAAGGCTTTAATCTTTTCAGGGTTAGCTTCTATCTCCCGGTTGCTGACTATGAAACCAAGGAATTTCCCTGACCTAACTCCAAAGGCGCATTTTTTGGGATTTAGTTTCATGTGGTATTTTCTTAGTACACCGAACATTTCACCTAGATGGTCGACGTGTTGGTTGGCCCTGGTGTTTTTTATGAGCATATCGTTGACGTAGACCTCCATTGATTTACTGAGCTGTCAAGTGAACATCTTATTCACGAGCCTTTGGTAGGTAGTCCCCGCATTCTTTAGGCTAAAAGGCATCACCTTGTAGCAGTAGAGGCTCCTATCGGTTATGAAGGATGTGTGCTCCTCATCGGCCGGATGCATGGGGATCTGGTTGTACCCGGAGTAAGCATCCATAAAACTCAGCATTTCATATCCTGCTGTGGCGTCGACCATCTGGTCTATTCAAGTGAGTGGAAAGCCATCATTCGAGCACGCTTTATTGAGATCGCTGAAGTCGACACATGTTCTCCAGCTTCCGTTAGGCTTGACCACCAGAACAGGGTTCGAGACCCAACGCAGGTAATGGGCCTCCCTTATGAACCCGTTGGTGATCAACTTGTCGACCTCCTCTTTCAGCGCCTCATACCTCTCTGGGTTCATTGGTCGACGCTTTTGGCGTTTGGGAGGATATGAGGGGTCAACGTTCAGGGAGTGACATATAACCTCGGCGTCAATCCCTTCCATGTCAGTGTGGTTCCAAGCGAAGATATCTAAGTTCTTTTTGAGGAAGTCTTCGATCTTAATCTTAAGTGATGAGGCTAGATCTGAGCCTATTTTTAGCACTTTAGTTGGCTCACCTTCATCAACTTGGATCTCCACCAATTGCTCGATAGGTTGGGACCATGTGACCTCCTTTTGAACCATGGGGTCTATGTCTTCAGCGGCGTTTTGATAGACCATCCTGGCCTCCTGTCGCACTGGCTGGTCGTATCCACGCAAAGTATCGGAGTATGCGACCCTAGCTTCGTACTGGTTGCTCTTCATCTCACCTACGCCTTTTGGGGTAGGGAACTTGACCTTCTGGTGGTAGACGAAGGTTATCGCCCTCAGCACCTGAAGGGTCGGTCTCCCGATTACAGCATTGTACTGAGAACCTCCCTTTATTACCACAAAGTTGGCCATTGTCATGGTCTGTCAGGGTTTTTCTCCGGCGGTTATGGGCAACCGGATAGTCCCCTGAGGGATGACGGAGTCCCCGGTGAAACCGTATAATGGCCTAGAGGTCTTCTCCAACTGCTCCTTTCGAATCGCCATCTTTTCCAAGCAGTCGGAGTATAGGAGGTCCACCGAGCTCCCATTGTCTACCAGGATTCGGCATACAGTGTGGTTCCCAAACACGGCTTCCACTACTAACACGTCGTTATGGGGGAAGTAAACTCCGCTGGCGTCGTCCTCATTAAATGCCACGTCGGTACTGCTATACCTTGGGGTTTTTGCAGCGGAGACACTCCAGAATCTTTCCTGGTAAACCCCTCTAGCCTCGTGGGCGTAGTCCTCCTGGGATCTCCTTGAGTCTCCTCCTATATAGGGGCCGCCGAGGACAGTTCGTATAATGCTGACGGGTTCTCGGTCCTCTGGTCGTTGGTTCTCCTCTCAGCGTCGACCATCATTCTGCCCACCGTGGCCATCGTTTCGAGGTCTCCGCTCAGTTTTGAACTTCTGTAGCCTCCCCTCGCGGATCACTCTCTCGATTTTATCCTTGAGGTCGGCGCAATCGTTAGTATGGTGGCCGACATCGCCGTGGAACCTGCATAATTTCTTTTTGTTCCTTCGGCTGGGATCTGTCCTCATTGGCTCTGGGCGGCGCAACAGATTTCCGCGGCCGACCTGATTAAAGACCTCCTCGACTCCTACTATTAGTTCGTGGTAGGAATCGTACCTTTGAAACAGCCGAGGCTTACGGTTCTCCTCTTGCCTTGGCTTCTTGGTTTCCGGAGTGCTCGACGTCGTAGCTGGCTGCTTGTCTCCGCTTCCTCCACCTCGACGCTTCTTCCCATCCTGCTTTGCTGGCGTCGACCCTTGTTCGGTTCCTTTGTTTCTATTGGACCTGTGCTCGGGGTCATTTGCGTCTGCCTCATCGGCGTTGATGTATCCTTGTGCTCGCGCAAGGAACTCCTTGTAGCTAGACGGGGGCTTTCGGTTCAGCTTTCTCTTGAAGGGGGTAATTTTCTTCATGCTAGATAATGCCCCCATCAAGGCCTCTCTGTTAGTTATATCCATCGTGGCGGCGACAGCTTCCCCATATCTTGCAAACCATTCTCTCAATGACTCAGCTTTTGGTATATCGTCATCAGGTTCTGCTTCGGGGGGACGTATTTTTTAACCCCTATGAATTGGAGGGAAAATGCTTCCTTCAATTCATCCCAGCTTGAGATAGAATTTGGCCTCAGCGTCCGAAACCATCTTCGGGCAGAATCCATTAAATGTTTCCGGAAGGCTCAGCACATAATTTCTTCGGCATACCCGTGTAAGAGCATGTGCCCCGTGTACATTTCTAAATGATCGTCGGGATCCCCTCGACCATCATATGGTGGGATCGACGGCGACCTATATTTGTCGGGGAGAGGTGGCGCCATTATCTCTTCGGTAAATGGGTGGTCATGTGTGTGGCTAGGTGTGATGTCGACGTTTACCACCTCAGCCACCCGCCCTATGTTCTTTTTTAGGCTTGCTACGTCCCCCGTGAGTTTTTGCTCCAGGCTGGTCATACGTTCCATGATGGCGCATGCTTCCTCTGTTGAGATGGCCGAGTTAGCTACTCTCGACGCCTCTGCCCTTTAACCGTTGGGTCCGTCCCTTGCCTGCCCGCCCGCCTGTACTGACCCTGAGTCTCCCGGTGGGTTTCTTCCTGGGTTCTGGGGGAGTACCTCGGGGTTTCTCGGGCCTTTTGGTATCTGGTCCTTGGGAGCCGGGAGTCCGGCGACCCTTAAACGGCCGCCGGAGGAGTGGGAAGGTCGGGGCCTAGGCTGGCCCCTGTGATTCTCACTATCCCCGATTTCTTCTAAGACATGAGGGCGGTCACCGAGGTTGGGGTTTTCAGCCACGGCAGGTCCTGGTGGCCTCGGGGCGTCTTTTAATGGTGGCATAGAGTTTCTTCCATCCAAGCGTTCGACCATGGCTATTAGTCCACGTACCAGATCGGTTAGAGTGGCTAGTTGGGCCTGCATCTGCACAGGATCCGGCCGCGGGACGTCTAGGGGCGGGACTTCGTTTCTGACCGGGGGTGGATCTTCCTCCACCCCGTCATTCATTGGATGAGTGGCGGTCTCGTCCATCTGGCTGCCTTGGTTGATGGCCTCAATTCTTCTTCTCGGAGGCATGCTTGCTGACTATGTTGTTGTTGTTGGGGGTCCAACGCGTTCAGTCCCCAGCGGAGTCGCCAATTGTTGACGGTGAATTTTCGTCAACAAAAACAGGCCGGTTTACCTCTAGGTTTCCCGTTGGATTACCGGCTTAAATATAGGTTATATGTAGGAGTTTGATGTTTTCTAGAGGGATGAGCAATTTGTGAGAATAATGCTTTAAAGCAAAGGAACACAATAAATTTTATAGTGGTTCACTCTATAAAATCAGAGCTACATCCACTGTGGTTGTATATTTCTTTTGGGGTGATTACAATGTACATCAATTGCTCTCTTGCTCTTTTTTCTCTCTCTAAAGATCAACCTCCCTTCCGTATGAGGTTTCTCTCCTTTTATAACCGGGCTTTCTTCGTCGGAGGGGTTTACTCCTGTAGGCTAAAAAAGCACTCAAGTAGTCTGCCCTTCTAGGCCCAGCCCGTAGCCCACTAATCACTTTTTGCGCACTGTTCACTAAGCCAATTAGTCTCCCATTACGGCTCTGTGCATAGCTGTAACCCTTTCCTGTCCCCCGTAGGGGCGGTTTAAGGGTTTGCATTTAATGCCTGTACTGCAGACATCTCCCATTTCCGTACGCAACTGGCGACGTCAGGCTTTCCCCTCTTCAGGTATTCCTCTCGCCGTCTCTGTTTGCTCAGCCTAGTTTTCTTCCTTGGCAATTGCTTTCTTCCTGAAGGATTCATGCCGTAAGGTTGACGGTACGAACTGTCGTCATCATGAGGAGTCGGCGTCGAAGGTTGAGCTTCCCTTGCAGTAGAAGGAAAGGGAATCCCGCCCCGTCGAGGGTTGTTGCCTCTTTAGGGAAAGCGAGGCCACGTGTCGCACTGTTATTTGCCCACGCGTCATCCACATTTTCCCACACAACAAACTTGTTAACATATGCTCTCTAGAGTGATGAATGGAGGAAAAGAAATTTAAACCGGTTTCTGTTGTTTTGTTTTGTTTTTTTTTTTTTGTTTTTTGTTTTTGTTTTTTTTTTGTGTGTGGGCGCGCATGCTGACAAAACTGGTTTCTGTTTAGTTTGTAGGAAATATGACCTGCAAGAAACATTTCTATCATATCACGTCCCGTTGCGACACTACAAGATTAGTCTCAAACGATCAACAGAAACTAAACTCTAACTTAGCACTTAAAATTGACCCTTAATTTAAGCTTTCCTTTACTTGGAAAGTTCTTGTTTTGTTACTTCCTATATGTTTTTTTGTGAAACTGCTAGTACTTGCAGCTAACCGATTCATGCTTTTTATTCAATTTCTTGCTATTAATTCAGATGGACCTTCAGGTGGCCTACCTCAGCAGCTGCAGCATAATCGTCCACCAGATGACACCAAAGCAGCAATAAATCCCATCACTAGCCCTGCCGTAGAATTCATACCAAGTTACCCACCACCGTCAGCAAGCAACACCTCAGGCTCCGAGAAACCACCTTCATCACCATCTCCTGCCATCGCCTTTGGACTTTCACAAAGTGGATTTACATATGAAGAATTGGCGAAGGCAACGGAGAATTTCTTGTCTACTAATCTCCTCGGGGAAGGCGGTTTTGGTTACGTCCATAAAGGGGTCCTTCCAAATGGGAAGGTGGTTGCAGTTAAGCAGCTAAAAGCCGGGAGTGGGCAGGGGGAGCGCGAATTTCGGGCTGAGGTGGAAGTCATTGGCCGCATACATCATAGACATCTTGTTTCACTGGTTGGATACTGTGTCAGTGGGGCTCGGAAAATGCTTGTCTATGAGTTTGTTCCAAACAACACATTGGAATTTCATCTTCATGGTAAGTCCTTTTGCTGATTTACTGTTGTTTACTCTCTTGGAGTACCAGTGAAAGGTGTTTTTGTTTGAAGAATTAAAGTAGCATTGTGAAATACTGTTACTTTTAAAGCAATTTTTGTGATTCGTGTGAACTACATGGATGTTGATCTGGGAAGTATACAAGTATAACCACTTTTTGAACATTTATAGTGGAAATGGAACTTAACACAAAGACTGTCAGAATTGAGACAACTTTTATACATTCTGGAATGGGTGGCTAATGCATTTCTTAGCATTTTATGGAGTATGAAGAGAAAATTAAATTAACATTTCAGGAAAAGGGAGACCAACAATGGATTGGCCAACCAGAATGAAAATAGCTCAAGGCTCTGCAAAAGGACTGGCATATATGCACGAGGACTGTAAGTTTTCTGTTCATTTCAAATAAATTTTGCTAATCCTAACAGATTTTTTATTTTTGGATTGGATTTATGTTATTGGTCTTGGGATATCAATTTAGAGCTAAATGCATCTTCAGGTCAGCCTAAGATCATACACAGGGACATCAAAGCGGCAAATATCCTTCTCGATGATGACTTTGAGGCAAAGGTAGGATCTTTAGATGCAATGCTTTCACCTGATACCTTGTGATTTTTTTTTTTTCAATTTGTTTGTTTTTCTTCAACAATTTTGTTTTTTGTTTTTCTTTTTCAATCTAATACTGACTTTCTATATGCAAATTATGTGCTTGGTTTTTCTATTTAGGTTGCAGATTTTGGACTAGCCAAGTTTTCTTTCGATACAGATACTCACGTCTCCACTAGAGTTATGGGCACTTTTGGGTGAGAATGTTTCTCATCCTCTCTCTCTCTCTCTCTCTCTCTCTCTCTCTCTCTCTCTCTCTCTCTCTCTATCCATTTCTCTTACCTAAGAATCTTCACTCTCCAATTCTCTTATCTAAGAATCTTGGATTTATCAAATGCAGTTACTTAGCTCCAGAATATGCATCTAGTGGAAAGCTTACTGAGAAGTCAGATGTCTTCTCCTTTGGAGTTGTGCTTTTGGAGTTGATTACTGGTCGGCGACCCATCAATAAAACTTATTCCATTGCAGATGATAGTATGGTTGAGTGGGTGGGTATTGCAATTTATCAGTCCTAATCCCAATAGAATGTTCTTTTTTGGTCATCGTTGTCTCGGAACACAAAGTCATTTTATTCTTGTTGCATGTGTGCATTGCTGATTTTGTGGGTAGCCTTCATGATGTTATAAGTAGCAAGCATTTCATTTTGAGCTGCAACATACTTTATAACCGAGAAAAGTTTTATCACTCTTTATTTTATGTACCATGCTGAGTGTGTTCTGTTGCTAGTTCAGGTATTTTGCTATGTCTTTTCTATTTTCATTGGTGAGGTCTTTTATTTAGCTAAACTACCATTATTATTATTATTATTTTTCATCTTGTACCGGAGGATTCTTGATTGCAGAGCTTTAATAACATTGAAATAACGTCAGAACTGCTATTGAATTCAGGCAAGGCCTTTGCTCATGCAAGCACTGGACAAGGGTAATTTCGATGGTATTGTTGATACCCAGTTGCAGAATGACTACAGCTCTGATGAAATGACTCGGATGGTTGCTTGTGCTGCTGCTTGTGTGCGTCATTCAGCCCGGCTTCGGCCACGAATGAGTCAGGTTATTGACATTCCTTCTGTTTTTTTGGTCTTTGCTTATTACTTAGCTTTTTTCCATCCTGATTCAAACACAGTCTTTCTAATCCTGGGTTCCAGTCACTGTTTTTCGCAGGTTTTGACCATGCTATTCAACTTATCATGTTCAAATTTGCCACTGTCTTGACGAAATTTAGTCAGTGCGTACTACTATATCTGAATGCTGAATCCTTTATGTGGGAATAATTTACTCGAGATGTCATTGCAGATACTTCGAGCTCTGGAAGGAAACATTCCTCTGGCTAATTTGAGTGAAGGAATTAAACCTGGTCATAGCACAATATACAGTTCCTTTGGAAGCCAAGACTACAACTCCAGCCAATACAAGGAACTTGAAGAATTTCAGAAGACTGGCCCTAGAAAGCCAAGAGCATGGCACAAGTGAGCACAGTGGGGCAAGCACCGAGTCTGGTGGCCTGCACCCATCAGCCTCGAGTACAAGCGAAAGTCGACAAACTACCGAAGAGATTGAACCACAGAAAACAAAAAAAGACACCCAAGCTTTCACCAAAAACTCATGAATCTCCTTCAGCTTCAGGTTCCTTAAGAAATTCATCCATTTTTCCGACATCATTTAACATCTTGCCTCCTTTGCATAGCCTTTCTCAGTCCCGTATTGGGACTAACAAATTCCAAGTTGGAACAAGCTTAGCATTTTTATTGGAGCGTTGTAGAAATGTTGTGTGACGAATATAGAATTTATTTGGCTTGCTTAATATAGAAATTTTTTTCCTGTAAAGGAATAGATTCTTCAAATGTTTGAATTGGATTGCATGTGTCTAATGTAATAGACCACAATTTGTTTTCTCGTATGCATATACGTGTAATTTATTTATTTTCCCAAATGTGTTGTTACTATTGTGAATAATGGAGTTCCCTCGCATGTAAATAAAACAATTAAAAAAAATACAAAAGGAAAACAAGTTCTAGTCCTTAGGTCCAAATTTGAAAAACATCATATTCCTAAGAAGAACATTAACTAATGTTTCTTTTCATGATAATTGATTACTCTTGCGCAACCTCTTTCCGTTTTGTCTCGTTTTTGTTTTTCATTTCTCGAAACGCATCTCATTTCAATGTTGTATGTAATCCAAGAAAAATATTCAATAGAATAATTCCACATTTAAGTTTTAATTACTGTGTTGTTATTAAGCACAAAAACTTTAAATATAAAATCTCAAAAAAGTAAAAAAAAAAATGAAAAAAATAAAGTTTCGGAAAAAAAAGGGATTAAAAAACAACTAAAATGAAGAAATAAATTAGTTTCAGGGCAAATTTAAAAGAGGTCAAAAAATGACCAAAATAAAGAAATATAGGACCAAAATGGAGAAGAAATAAAGTTTCTAGAGAAAAAAATGAAAAAATAAAGTTTTAGGGGAAAATAAATAGGGAGATTCTCTGGTACGCCTCGCATACTGGTAGGCTAGATTTTTTTAACTATTAGATCTGCGTACTTTTTGACTTTTACGTGATTTTATACAAATCCGACGAATAGAAAACTTGGCCTACCGATATGTTAGCGTACCAGAAAAGGTCCCTAATAAAAAAAGGTAAAAAAAATCATCAGAATAAATAAATTTTAAAGTACCACGGGCAAGGAATATCTAAGTAGGAAAATATTTTTTTTTTTTGGAAGAAAAAAGCAAAAGGAGAAAGATGAACTAAAGGGGAACCATAGGGAGCAAAAAAAATGTTTATTATTGTTCACATTTTCAACTAAAACGATGGCGTTTTGGTTGAAAAATACGTACCATAAGTTTTAATTACCGTGTTATTAAGCATATAAAATTTGAATACAAAATCTTAAAAAGAGAAAAAATGAAAAGTGAAAAGTTTTAGAAGAAAAAAAAAGGGGCAAAAAAAGAACTAAAATGAAGAAATAAATGATTTTTAAGGCAAAGGTGACCAAAATGAAAAAAAAAAAAAAAGCTTCAGGGTAATTTTTTTTTAAAAAAAAAGTCAAAATGGACCAAAATAAAGAAATATAGGACCAAAGTGAAAAAGAAATAAAATTTTTGGAAGAAAAACGAGAAAAATAAAGTCTTAAGGGAAAATATAAATAAAGTAAAAAAAAAACCACAAAAATAAATAAGTTTTAGAATATCACTAAAAAGAGAAGAAAAAAAATGAGAAAAAATAAGTTTTAGAATATCAATTAATATAGTATGTAAGTTGTCATTTTTTATTAATGAATGTTTAAAATATTATCACGTCAATTAATAAAAAAATTATATTTATTAATAAAAATATGGTGACATTAATTGATATATAAAAATTAAAATTTTTATTAGTGTCCCTAACATTTTCCATAATCAAGGGCATTATGGGAAAATTAAAAAAAATAGTAAACAATAACCTTTCCAAGACTCCAGGTCGTATCCAGGCTATACCTTATTTTGGGGGCTGAGTTGGCACGACAATCGATCACTGGGCTCTCTTCTCTGTCCACGACAAAATAAGAGCTCCATATAAGAAACTTCCTCTCTCTCTCTCTCTCTCTCTCTCTCTCCGAATTCTTGAAAGCTTCCTTAATCCCAAATTGGAAGTCCTTAGGTTTTCGATTTTTTCTCTTTTTTTTATTTTTTTTATTTTTCGTAACCCCCAATTTCATCCATGGCTTCTCGTAGGCGTATGCTCCTTAAGGTCATTATCCTCGGCGACAGTGGGTAAGCAAATTTAGAAACGTTTCTCGTCGTTTCTGTTTGGTTTCCGAGAAAAAAGAATGGAAATTGAACAATTCCTCACTTTTTGTTCTCTTTTGGCAGGGTGGGGAAGACATCGCTGATGAATCAGTACCCTCTTACAACCTAAAAAATCGTTCATTTTTTCAATTGAATTTTGGTTTTTTTAAAACGGTTTGACGATGAACAATTGTTAATTTTGGTTTATTAGGTATGTGAATCGTAAGTTTAGTAATCAGTACAAAGCGACAATTGGAGCTGATTTTCTAACAAAGGAGGTTCAGTTTGAAGATAGGCTCTTCACATTGCAGGTGCGGTTGCTGTGATCATCATTATGTCTCTCTCTTGAAAGCATATTTTAGAAATTTTTCAACGAAAAGAAAAAGATAAATATAAGAGCAATCATGATCTGGTAACTTCCAGAAAGACGGAATTGCAGCATATTCCATTTGTTAGTGTCATAAAGTCGCTGTCTGTGGTAGTTTCAATTTGATCTTATATCTGTTGTACTATTAAAGGTTATTAGGATGTTCTCAATGCCTTGGGAGACTGCTAAAGTCGAAAATTCTAGTTTCAGTTTCCTCCGAGACGATGTTTTCGGAAATGAAACCGTGTAAAATTTGTATTGACGTTGATTGTTGTGGGGTTCTGGTTTTGATTAAAAAAGTTCTCAATTTTTTTTTTTTAAATTGTTCTTGTGATTTGGTCCTTTATCTGCTAACTTTATGAAATAGTGACTAATATGTGACGCGTTTGGATACTTTTAGCAAAGGAAAATGAGGGAAATCTTTTTAATATCATTAGATAAATTATAATTGTTAAAAAAAAAAGACGCTTCAGAATTAATGCATTGATTGATTTTTTCAATGTGAAGAAGCTTTTCAGAACAAAAAAGTTTTCGATTGGTGGAGAATAGGTAGTTATATCACATGAAGTTTGCTCATTTTGAACACCTTCTGATCTTTTGTAGATTTGGGATACTGCTGGACAAGAAAGGTTTCAAAGTCTTGGTGTGGCTTTCTATCGTGGTGCAGATTGCTGCGTTCTTGTATATGATGTGAATGTAATGAAATCGTTTGAGAATCTCAACAACTGGCGGGAGGAGTTTCTGATTCAGGTAGTGCCCTAAATTTGGAAATATTATGCAAATATATGGCCGCTGACTGAAAGTGACATTCTGTGCAATCGATGTTCAGGCTAGTCCATCTGACCCTGAGAACTTTCCATTTGTCGTGTTGGGAAACAAGGTAGATGTTGATGGAGGAAACAGCCGGGTGGTAAGTTATCTCTTCTTCTTATGCATTTCTGCCTTGCCATAATTCTCCCAAGTGTTTGTTCTTATGAAAATTGAAAATAAATAATAATAGTAATAATAAAATCTGTTTTGCTATTTTGGGATTTATGTCCAGATGTTCTTTCCTAAAGCATATTTATGATTCTTTTACCTCTGTTGTAGGTTTCTGAGAAGAAGGCAAAGGCATGGTGTGCTTCTAAGGGAAACATACCATACTTTGAAACATCCGCAAAAGAAGGGTTCAATGTTGATGCTGCTTTTGAATGTATAGCCAAAAATGCACTCAAGAATGAACCTGAAGAAGAAATGTAAGTACTCTTTATGACTCTAATTAGTGTTAGTTAACTTAATTGCAATTTAGTATCCCAAATGCAAAGGAGGGTTATAGGCAGCTCAAGGTATACTAATAGCTAGACGAGAAAAGGACGAATTACACGGTTGCCTCCTGAACTATAGGCCTTGTCACAAAATGCCCTCCTGAACTTTAATTTAGCTTTTCTTCCCCTAAACTTTAGTAACTCTTGCAAAATTCCTCCTTCGTTAAATTTTTGTTGGCGGCCATTTATGAACACCTAAAGCTCCCTAGGTCAAGCAAATTAAGGAGAAAGTTAGGTATGGTAAAAAAAATGATAACTCCTTTTGTGTAATTGCACTTTCATGTAACTGCATGAGGAGGAGCTAATAGAGTAATTGCTTACTAAATTATTCAACCGAAACTCATTATTTGTGCAATACATGTTATTTATGTTAAAAATCTTAACATAAAGAGTTCTTTTGTTAATTTTTGCATTTTACTTGATATTTTCCATCAAGAATTTAACAAAGGGGAGAAATTTGCAAGAACTACTAAAATTTGGGGAGAAAAGCTAAAATTAAAGTTTGGAGGCATTTTGTGATAATGCCTATAGTTTGGGGGGCAACTAGGAAAAAACAAATAGGACTGCAGAATGTAAATCTGTAATTCGTCATGATATATAAAACATATGTGTGTGTGTGTGTATATATATATATATATATATATATATATATTTGTTATGCATAACAATTTGCGTGGATTGGAGTCTAAGAATAGCATTATATAGCAGTCGTTTAGTTTTATCAAATTTTTACCTAAGTTAACTGTAGTCTACGATACCCTGTTTAAGCTAGCATAAACTTTGCCCTCAATTAAACCTTTTTTTTTTCCATGAACTTGTTCATTTGGAGTACTAATTCATTGTTTTTTTTTTTTTTTTTAATTTTTCGTACGTTGGTTTCTGAAAGATACCTTCCTGACACAATTGACGTTGCGGGAGGGGGGCGGCAGCAAAGATCTACCGGTTGTGAATGTTGAGTTCTTAAATATGCTTTGTTCGTCAGTTTAATACAAATCTGTCGTTATCATTTGGTGATTATTATTATTATATTTCAGTTCTTTCAACAAAGAGTAAATTATCTTAGGGGAGGTTATGAAGTTCTATTTGTATCATAAGTGGATCAGAAAAGGCAATTTGTCTATTATTGTATTGCGGTTTCTCTTTGTTGATATTTCTTTGTGGTTCTACTTTTTCTTTTTTGGTGTTATATCTAGACATGTTATTGAACTGGGATAATGATCGTTATGACTCGGTCATACGTATTGGAACCTGCCATATACGGTGGCAAAATCCCCTTACATGGTTCTTTTAATCCATGATTCTAACAATGGTAAAAATGGACTGTTTTTGTAGTTTAGACATTTGTTTCCCGGAAATTAACCCACTAAATATGGATGTGGTATACACAGTAAAAAAAAAAAGATTTTATGGGGCTGGGGAGCTCTCATATTCCTCAGTTCGTCAACCAACAAAGGGTGTCGTTTCGTTTGCAGCCTAAGTGGAGCTAAAGAAAAAAGTAAAACAGAAAAACTGAACATGCATGTGGCACGCACGTGCCCTGTGAGTTAGGGTTTAAGAATTCTGTGTACCACGTGTTAATGGGAGCCTGGAAACCTCTGGAAATACGACAGATTTTTTTCCTCTTTTCCTCTTTCCTTTTCTCAATTACTCTTTTCTGAGATTAGCAACCAAAAAAAAAAAAATCCCCGTTTCGAACCGTGCTAATTTTTTGACGTACTTTTATCTTAGCCAAACAATAGCCTTGCCTTGAGACACTGAAGTTGGTGCTCTGCTCCGTAGCTTCTTCGTTTTCTTTTCTAGGGTTCAAGTTGGGATTTTTCTTTCGAATCTCTTAGCTTTGCGTTGATTGGTTGATCAATGGAGGCGGCAGAGGAGCAAGGCCGTGGACTACTGCACCAGATCCTCCCTCCGCGCCTCGAGGACGCTGGCCTCGAGGACTGCGCCCTCCCTCCGGACTCAATCAAGGAGGCTTTCATCAAAGCCGCCACCGTCGTGAAATCACGTGCCGCCTCGATCTTATACTCCGACGAAGACGAGGATGCCGACGGCGATTGCGTCAAGGATCCATGGCCTGACGCGAAGGACCGGTCCGATGTTGTGGTCGGGGTGTCGCCGGAGGGCGAGGCTCCGGGACCTTGCGCTACCGAGAACGGTACCGGAGCGGCGGAGATCGGAGGGGATGATGTGGCTGTGGGAGGCGGCGATGAGTTGGAGGATAAAGTGGTGGTTGGGAGCGAGGATGAGAAGGGAGGGAAGGATTGCGTGGAAGGATTGCAGGGATTGGAGATCGGAGACGAGAAGAAGAAAAATGGCGGTGGCGATGAGGAGGATAAGGGTGAGGAAGATGAAGACAGACCTATCCTTGTTGGAGGTTATGTTTGAAACCCTAGAAACTCGTTTTTTAATCGAAAAATGTGTAATGCTTTCGTTTTGGTAATGCATATATATGAGGCTATGTTTTAACTTCCAACGACATGTAAAGTGAAATATCAATAAAGTTGTGTTTCAGTTAAAGAATTGAAGTTTTAAAACTTTTTTTTTTTTTTTTTGATCTTGGTCTACCATTTTGGATGCTAGGATCAATGTTGTTGAGAACCATTAGTGAAAGGATTTGATCTTAAATTATCTGTCGTTTTTGTTCTGAATTAAAAATGGAGAGCTTGTTTTGCTGGCCATCCCAGATTTTAAATTTATTCTCTTAATTAGGCCTAAATGTTGTGGGGATTCAATGGCATTAGCATATCTCATGATTGAGGTGTGATGAGCTTCATGGTAGTGGCGTGATCACTTTGTTTTTACCTGGTAATTCTGAGAAATTGGTTTCATTTGGCGAAACATTCGAACAATTTTAACGGTCTCATTAAAGAATGTGAATGAAGGAATTTGTTTCTTTGTAATAGCTCAGGTTGAGTTTGGTACTACTACTAGTGAAGGTATGAATTTGGTAGTGATACACAAGAATTAGAGTTTGTAAGCTGGGAGTTGTGCCATAGGTATTCTTTTTTACCATCATTGTTGAAACTTGAAAGAGATGGTGATAATGGTGAAGGCGTTGTCCATTATATATAAAGATTCGGCAGTCGTCCGATGCAGTCCATTTACCACTGCCTAAGAAATTTTGTTCCTTGGCACTTTTGATGGCATTTCACGTTTGCAATTCCCCTTGATCTAATATAGTTATATAAGCAAGTGATTCTCGAAATTTGATTTCTGCTTCTCTTAGTGATTGAAAAAGCTTGCGTCTACTTTTATAGTGAGACCATAATTGACAGACGGAGAAAACAGAGGTTAGCCACAGAATGCAATATGGATAAAAGCGAAAACCTCACCCGAGGTTAAATAGAACTTTATTTCGGTGTTCATGCTGTCGGTTCTCTTGATTCTGGAATGCTCGAGAATTATTGCTTGCCTTGTTAATGCAATATGAAATTATTATGTACCACTTTGGCCTATTACTAAAACTTTTAATGAGGACAATAGGAAACGTACAATCATTGATATCTTAGGTGCCATTTTGCTTGTTGGTCTCTGCCTCCTACGTAAACCAGTTTGTGAAGAAACTTTCAGTTGGTTGGTCCTAATTTGTAGTAGGACTGCATTATGTTGAAATTTTCTTTTGGCTTGAGTCTGCACTGCGCCCTTTGCCCAAATGGTGAAGAGCTGCAGATTACTGTTTGGCAAACCAAGACCACGCCAAGGGTCAACATTCTGGATGGTGTTTTCATGATAAAGACTTCTTTGTCGCCATTGCTAGAACTTCAATTTATTTTCCATTTCTGTCTAGTCCTGAAGGGCATTTAGTACGTCGGAGACAACACGGGTCCTCTAAGTGTCCATTGCGGCTTTAACGGATAGCGAAACGTCAGACTGATTTATTATGATGCAAGCGGCCCCAAGATGAGCAGGGACTAGCCTTACATCTGCAAGGATATGGTTTCCTACGGTTATGGTTTCGGATGGCTGTGGTTTCTACTTGTATGTGGGAAGTACTTTATGAAGAATCTCTTCTGGAGTCTCTACAGTTTTTATTGTACTTCAGCACTTCCCCACAGGTGGATTTGGTCCAAAACAACATTTGGAAGTTCTGTTGAGATGGAGGGAGATTATTATTATTACTTTTTTTTAGGAAAATTTACACATTACCATAATCTTTTTAGTCATGTTGAAATATAACAGAAAATCTAGAATATTTTACAATTAACAAAAATTAAAATCATTAATATGATTACTACGTAATTCTGTACGATATAAAGCATGATAGTTATTCCTTCTGATGTGTGATATTTAAGTATTCAAAATTACGCTTTCTCTTGGCCTATTAAATGAACTGTGGAACAGAATCTTGTTTTCCTTCTTAGTGACGACTACTTGCTTTCAGCCATGCTTTTCGGTTACAGTGCTCATGGGTCTTCAAGTCAAAAAACAGCTTAACAAAAAAAAATATAAATATATAAATAAATAAATAAAAATATAGTAACGTCAATCAACATATTACAACAACATGCCAATTAACAAAGTTTTGTCTTCTTTTCCCTTTCTTTTTCAGTCCACTGTTTCCTAATTCCTCTCCATAAAAAAAATCTTCATATAATGTGAACCGAATCTGGTATGGTAGGTGTACGGTAATACCATAAAATGTATAAAACTTTTAGCTATAGTACTGTATTGATTGATATCTTTTGTATTATTTTAAAGGTAGAAGTTTTACTTGTTCCTGACTTCTTGGTTTAGATTAAAGAAGACGTCTTATGTAATAGTTGAACTTGGAACTTGGAAGAGAATTCTTTTGTTACCTTAACTAACAAAAGCCGAACCATATGATTCATGCGGTCTCTTTTGTTTGGATGTCACATAATTTCCTTTTCTAACTAAAAAGCTAGTTATTCCTAGTTTCGGTTGTTGTCTTGAAAGTATGATTAATTTAGTAATAAATTACTCAAATCAGGGATTTGTTTTCTGACTAAGAAAGCCTTCCTATGGATTTTCTTAAATATTTTATGTATTTGGTTGAAGAGTCAACTTAGGCCTTTTGGCTCTTGGTTTCCATAACTAATATAACGATTTGATAGTACTTCTCTGAATTTATTTTTAATTCTTTCCTTTCTTTGAGGAAATATCAACATGTCTTCTTTTTCTTGCATTTAGCCATTCACTAATGAAAACACGTTCTTTTTGAGTAAATTGGGAAACAGAATTTAAAAGCTTGGTAATATGAGCAAGAGTCAAATGACATTACCTAACGAGGTGGCAATATTAGACTTGCTTTGAAAAGTGCCCTTTCTTAATTTCTTGATGAACAGACAAGTATCCAAAATTAATTCCGTGTAATATGCTTTCTTCTTTCAACTCTAGGAATTGATGAATCCTTGTCGAAGGAATCGACCCCTAATATTAAGTGACAATCAATTGTAAGTAATATTTAGTTAACGATCAATTTATAATTAGTTAGTTTATATTTTCAGCCAAAAACGATGATAATAATAATAAGTGTCTGTTTTGCATTTTTCAATCTGGTGTGATTTTGATCAGATCTAATTATTGAAAAACATGGAATACAAAAAAAGAGAGAACACTGGAGAAAAACCCCAATAATAATAATAAGAGTATTTTTCTAATAGTGATAATAGTGCCTAAGACCTCTTGGTCTAGTGACACTGAAGTGTTTGGATAGGGTAGGGTTTAGATGGAGGTTTTGCGAATTCAATCCTATGTTGTATAAGAAAAAATAGTAATAATAGTGACGATGACAATGATGATGATATTTGATGCATGCAGTATTATCATCATGTAATTTTTCTTTTTCTTTTTTTTTAACTGAAAAAGGATAAAATTGTGGCTTTCATTAAATATTTAAGATTACAATTTTAAAAGAGCTCAATAGATTAAAATAACTTTCTAATTTTCTAATAATTAATAATTAATAAAAAATGTTAGAATAAAGTTTATAATATCAAAATAAAACTCTTGTACAAATTTCAAAACTATTCAGTAGAGTTTCTTTGACTGTAATTAATTTGGACTGTAATTAATTGTTCATAAAAACTTTGTTAGATTTATCCCAACACTTTGAAAAGTAACTTTTGAGTCAAAAATCCAAAAGCTCCTTTTTATATTCCAGTGGATCACTAAGGAGTTGTTTGGTTGGGAGATTTATACTCCGATTCGAATTATGGTTTATAGCACGTAAATCGAAAATGATTCTTATCTCATGATTCTAATCCATGAACCAAACGTTTCCTAAGACAAAACTATTGGTTAACAATCAAAGTAATGAAGTTAATGATTTAATTCTATCTGATAGAAATCAACTGGTAGAATAATGGCATTTTAAAAGGTGGCATCAAACCTTTTCCGTTAATGCATGCCACTTTTTTCTTCTTCTTCTTCTTCTTCTTCTTCTTCTTTAATTCTATCTGATAGAAATCAACTGGTAGAATAATGGCATTTTAAAAGGTGGCATCAAACCTTTTCCGTTAATGCATGTCACTTTCTTCTTCTTCTTCTTCTTCTTCTTCTTCTTTCTTTTTTAATAATAAAATTGGCTTCTTCCGTTAATGCATGCTAGAATAATGGCATTTTAAAAGGTGGCATCAAACCTTTTCCGTTAATGCATGCCACTTTCTTCTTCTTCTTCTTCTTCTTCTTCTTCTTCTTCTTCTTCTTCTTCTTCTTCTTCTTCTTCTTCTTCTTCTTCTTCTTCTTCTTCTTCTTTCTTTTTTAATAATAAAATTGGCTTCTTCCGTTAATGCATGCTAGAATAATGGCATTTTAAAAGGTGGCATCAAACCTTTTCCGTTAATGCATGCCACTTTCTTCTTCTTCTTCTTCTTCTTCTTCTTCTTCTTCTTCTTTTAATAATAAAATTGGCTTCTTCCGTTAATGCATGCTAGAATAATGGCATTTTAAAAGGTGGCATCAAACCTTTTCCGTTAATGCATGCCACTTTCTTCTTCTTCTTCTTCTTCTTCTTCTTCTTCTTCTTCTTCTTCTTCTTTCTTTTTTAATAATAAAATTGGCTTCTTCTTTCTTTTTTAATAATAAAATTGGCTAATGCGTTAATGCACGATTTTAGTTTTAATAATAAAATTGGCTAATGCGTTAATGCACGATTTTAGTTGAACAATTGTTTTACTGCTAGATTTTGGTGATACTTTTGAAAGATGCCAGTAGAGTAGACTACTTGCGTTGCATCTTTTTAATACAGATATTGTTAATAAATCAATTGCCATGGACTATGGCTCCTTTTTTTTTAATGGATTTTGTAATTAATATAAGTGGTGTAAACACTATAAGACAAAATTCAACCGTTTAAGGTGCGCCACTTTGGGCGTAATAGTACTGAAAAACGTGTTATTATGTTGTAAAGAAATTTTAAAAAATCAGCTCATATAATATAAAAAATATAGGAGAAAGGTTCTATTAATCGTCAAAGAAAATCAACTCATATATAGAAGGAATTGATCCACAACTCGATATCCGCGTGATTATTATTTAGTTTTTTTTTTTTTTTTTTTTAGTGAAAAAAAAGAAAACAGTTACTGAATTAAATCTCGTCAACATCTAGTTGTGGGCTTGGTATCCTCGAGATTTTATTCAGTTGATGAACACACTCCAATTCTTATACAACGTGCTTCACATGGCATTGCCGAATGAATACATGTTTACGTGTGTGTGTATAAATATATATATAGACATATAATATATCCTTGATAATAACATTCTTTCCTTTATTGAAATAAACTTTATTTTTTAATTTTATTACGTCAAATATTACAAATAATATAATGGAGAAAGTTTATTGGTTTGGGTATGTATGAAATCACGATTCTTTTTTCAAGTCTGCTCTTTCACAACGTACACAACACACATGGTTGTGGAAGTCATGCAAATAAATATTAATAAATAATATGCAAAGTAGATATTGTAGCGTGCTTAATAATCAAATATTATAATTCTATTCCTCTAAAAAATTGTCTCAACTTTGAAAATCGATTCCCCAAAAAAAATAAAAAATAAAAATAAATAAAAATAAAACTAACTAAAAATTGTCGACTAGAAATCTCTTGTATATGATTCTGTTTTACTTTCTGGAGTTGGGTTGGAAGAGTTATGATGTAACCTGACTTTTTTAGATTTTTTCCGTGTCTTTCAAAATGAAAAAGAAAAAAAGGAAAGAAAAGTTAGGTCTGTATATGACAATGAGAGCTATAGTCGGCTGGCTATGAAACAGAAAACACTATTTTATAACACTTTAGTTGCATTCATATGGTCAAAAAATTTTAAAAACAAATTAAAAAAGATGGTAAATAAGAATTGGGGTGGTGCCCGGTGACACAAAAGTACTTGTTTACAGGTTCAATTATGGAATGCCAAAGTAGGTTGTTTACATCACTTTTTAACCCCTTGTCGTTGAGGGAAACAAGTTTAGTTTTTTTTATTTGAGTTTTTAATTCGAATTGAGATGCGATTTTATGTGAGTATTTTTTACTGTAGTAAAAAAAATATAACTATTTCTGAGGGATTTTTACTGTAGCAAAACTCGAATCGGTGAAATAAACGTACCTTAATATCCACTTAAAGTTATTTATATTAATATAATACATTTGAACGAATAAGAAAATGGTAATGCATGTATTAATGTGTTTTAGGAGTGTGCTTTATTCTGGGAGAAAATTTTATAGCTAGTGGGATATATGCACAAAGTACTAGCATGATAGATAACTTTCATATTCTCCACTCATCCTCGTTTAGACTAATTAATGAGCCTATATTCTCCATTAACGGACACGAATTTGATTAGAAAGAATCATCTGGATAACAATTTAGGGAAATGTGTTTACTATTTGTAAGAATAAAAATAAATAATTAATAGTGTCCGCCCCCATGTATAAAGAATCTATTGAGACAAGCGAATTGGCTCATGCTTTCGTCTACTAGCAATCAGGACCGCTCAAGTCAAGCAGGCCCAGTCCATATTTGGAGGGCCCAACTGAGAGAACACTCATCGGTCATTCTCTTGCCGTCATGTGCCCGCTACCACCGGTGGTAGTAACTTTCGTTTTTTTTTTTTTTTTTTTTTTATTTGTGAATCGAATTATATATATGAACGTCACTATCGGGAGAATACGACTATAGTGTCACGACCTGGAACAATGTCACGAACTTGCTTACTGTTTACAAGAATCTAATAAAGTTTGCTTTTATTTTTATTTTTATACAATCAATCTAGATCAAGGTTCTCAAAGACAGATAAGTAAAGGAAAGGAATACATCAAATTTTCTTAACAAATAATATGGACAAACTATATTTAAAATTTAATGGACTATATATCTTCTTTTTTTTTTTCTTTTTTTTTTATACATTTTTTGTAGTTATTTTGTTTTTTCTTCGTAGTACGTGATCACTTGTTTTTGTGAAAGCGGAATATTCGTAGATTTAAGTGCTTCATATTCATTAAAAAATACGGTTGTATAGGCACAAGATTGGGAAAACAAAAAAACAAAAAAAACAAGTGCAAATGATACAGAGAAATTTCAAGAACGTGGGATAGGAATCATAAAGAAGCAATGAGTTAAAAAGAAGGGGTAAACGAATAGAAGAGAGCTCTAGAGGGGTTAATTTAGTTACCTTTCATTTCTTTTTCTTTTTCTTTTTTCCTTTCCTTTCCTTTTTTTTTTTTTTTTTTTTTTTTTTTTTTTTTTTTTTTTTTCTTTTCTCTTCCTGACTACCTTTATATTTTTCGTTCATTTCATACAATCAAAATATAAGCCGTGTGAAAAAAAGCCCGGACCTTTTTATTTATATTTATATTTATATTTTTTTATGTACAGCCACACTAGGCTGTCCCAATCGGCAGTGGAAGTTTGTCCAAATCGACAGTGAAAGTTTCTCAATCCTTTTCTCTTCCTGACTACCTTTATATTTTTCGTTCATAAAGGACAATCAAAATATAAGCCGTGTGAAAAAAAGCCCGGACCTTTTTATTTATATTTATATTTATATTTTTTTATGTACAGCCACACTAGGCTGTCCCAATCGGCAGTGGAAGTTTGTCCAAATCGACAGTGAAAGTTTCTCAATCAACAATATGGTAGAATTATGTTTACTCCGAGTTAACTCAACTCGACTCGGTCACGATCATATGAATATCTCATGCACTGTACTTATTTTTCAACGTTGTTTTACCAAAAAAAAAAAGAAAAAAAAAAAAAAAAGGAAAGGCCTTGATCTTGGCCTCTTGGTGTGATTTAAAACCAAGTCCTTTTTGAATTAACCACACCTTTTCAACTCAGAAAGATATAGAGATAAGAGAGATATAACTTCTTCTACACTCTGTGTTGTGTTGCAACTTATTATATATATATATATATATATATATGGATAAAACAGAGGGTTTTCTTCAAGTCTGAGCCTTTTTATAGGCTTTTCTTTTCATTAGAACTATTTCAGCTTTGGGTTTTGTATTGTCGTACGCTCATATGGCTGGAATTGGACCCAAATGGGGCAACACGATGAGGTTGATTGGAATTGCTTTGGTTGGTTTTCTTTTGGTATTTTCAGTCCTTGTTTCCGCACAAGAAACTTCTCAACAAAAAACCTCAAGCGAAAAGAATTCCTCGCAATCCGTGGATCGATCAGGATATAAACATGTTTGGCCAGTGAGTTCAACCTTTCATTGTATATTATAATTGTTCTTTTGTTTGTATTTTTTATTATTTTCCCAAGTGATTCAAGGAGTGTTTTTGTAACTACACTTTACTTTTCTTCCCAGGAAAGTCAGCAGAAGAACGATTGAGCTAGGCCTGTACATTTATTTTAGTACAAAACTTTTCCTCCATAGAAATCCTAAACAAACACTCAACTTCAAGTTTTTTTTTTTCCCCCCTTCTCTTTTTACCTTGCTTTTCTCCGTTTTCCCATAAAAACAACAAATGGAAACGTACTCTTTAACCATGTTAGTGGGATCCGCAATCTAGTCAATAATACTAAACATATAATGGTTATCTTCGTAAATTACAAATTAAGACTTAAAAAGTTCTAACCAAATAAATTAATTGGGTTCTCAGGAGATGAAATTTGGGTGGAGAATTATAGTCGGAGGGATAATTGGATTCCTTGGAGCAGCATTTGGGAGTGTTGGAGGAGTTGGTGGCGGCGGGATTTTTGTGCCAATGCTCACTCTCGTTATGGGATTTGATGAGAAATCATCAACAGCTATATCAAAGTGTAAGTGGTTGATTTCCTCTTAACTTACTATTGTTTCCTCTTTTCCTTTTGGAGATTCCTTCTTGCCTTGCCTACTAAGGAATTGTGGGGTAGGGGTAAAAGTTACCGCATCATCAGTTTTTTTTATCAGATTCACACATGTTCAAGTTTAAAATATTCATAAACATGCATTGTCGATATGTGCCTGAAATCGCGTAACATATATGTGCATGAAAGCATGTAAATGTTGATTTTTTTTTTTTAAAATGTTTGTTTGATCAGGTATGGTTGCGGCTGGTGCAGCGTCGACGGTTTTCTACAACTTGAGGCAAAGGCACCCAACACTTGATTTGCCCATCATAGATTATGACTTGACACTCCTGTTTCAACCCATGTTGATGCTTGGAATCAGTCTTGGAGTCGCTTGTAACGTGATTTTTGCAGACTGGATGATCATACTCTTGATGATTATTGTCTTCCTCGGTAATACAATCTTGCCTGATAAATTTCAACTGTTTTTTTTTTTTTTTTTTTTTTTTTTTTTTTTTTTTTGAGCCACTTTTTTTTTTTTTTTTTTTTTTTTTATATATCTTTCTGAGCAACTTCTTAGTATATTTATGTGGCCATATTATGGTAAATCTGCAGCCACATCGACAAAGTCGTTTTTGAAAGGCATTCAAACCTGGAAAAAGGAAACAATAGTGAAAAAGGTGGGTTTCTTATTTTTATTTTTATTTTTTTTGTGTGATTTGTTCTTCGTGAGCTAATTAAAATTGTTTAAACTAATCTTTTGTCTTATTTGGGTCATGTTTAATTCTCAGGAGGCTGCCTTACGCTTGCAAGCCAATGGTAAGTCAAAAAATTCTCGACGTCCTAACTCTCTCCGAATAATTAATATTAATATCATCTTTCAGGCTAATTATACAATTTTTTTGATCAGGTAACAATAACGAAGCGGTTGAATATAACAATAATCATACAGTAAATCAAAACAAGGATTGTAAGAGAAAAGAGGTAGAGAAAAACTTGAAGCCCGAATTCCTTTGTCTCATAGTATTGTATTTTATCGTACCTCATCTTATTTTGAGGGGACTTTGTGTCATTGTACTTTTGGGGACTCACTTCTTTAACTTTCACAGTTTTCTTTCTTAGACAACATTTATTGGAAGGAACTTGGACTCCTTGTTGCCGTTTGGATCACGGTACTTGGTCTCCAAATTGCTAAGGTGCTATTACAAGATAGCTTTGTGTGTGTGTGTCTATGTTTTTTATTTTTTTATTTTTTTATTTTTTTTTATTTTTTAAATATAGTTCGAGATTTCCTAATAGAAGATTAGAAGTTGGACTTGAGTTTATTTTAATAAGCTCCAATACCATGATACAAAATTAGACTTTCTAAGAGTTGTGGTTCCATCCTAAATTAAATGGGATGAAATTTAAATGATATTGAACTCGTACCTTTTACATAATGAATGTCGTTAAGGAAGTGGGACTAACAGGACTTACTATTCCATGCCACAGAATTACACCACAAAGTGTTCAGTCCTATATTGGCTACTAAACTTCTTGCAGGTACTTTAGTTTCCACTTATATAATGGTCACAGTTTACTATTGAAATGAGATCTAGATCTTCATTTTAACAAAAATTCAGTTTTTAGATTCCGGTGACCGTCGGAGTAACCGCTTACGAAGCGGTTGGCCTGTACAAAGGACGGAAAGTGATAGCATCCAAAGGAGTAGTGGCCACGGTGTGGAGTGTGCGCAGGCTACTTATTTGTTGTGCCTTTGGAATGCTAGCGGGAATGGTTGGTGGATTGCTTGGCCTTGGTGGGGGATTCATAATGGGACCTCTTTTTCTTGAGCTAGGAGTCCCTCCTCAGGTACATTTATATTATAGTCGTTTATGTTAAATCCGTTTTTCACAATAAATAAATAGGCATAGGAAGTTGGTATCGCGGTTCGGTAACCACCTATATTTATGGAGTCACACTCAAACAGTGAACAATCCACTAAGTATTAATGATTATAATCACTAATCGGATTTATACACTCAAAGACTCCCTTTTCAACAATGTCGCCGTCGTGTCAAATCTACTTGATGACCTTGTCCATTGAGTACTACTCGTCTTCAAAAACTGCACGCCGAAATCCCTTTGTCTGGCAGGTCACTCTCTCCCGAAAGTTTTAAATTCTTCTCCCAAAGAATGATAAACTGTTGAACTCCCTTCAACATTGCAAACATCTTCTCCTGAAGACTACTACTTCTTCTCTTGAAGAATGATAATGAAAACTACTCAAAACATTATGTGTGAAACCCAGGAAGCCCACAGAATGAATCATCTTGAGTTCTATTTATAGAACTTCTATTTCTTATCTTCACGTTGACACAATCTAAGTCAAATTTAAATTATCTTCATAATTATATCAACGCTTACTCAAAATTCAAATTGTTGCACAATCTGTTCCACGACTTGTTGCAACATTATCTGATCTTGAATTTAAAATATGAACTTAACAATTTTGCTCTGATGACCTCTGCTCTATCTTCACACACGTCTTTGGTATATTATGTTTTATAAAAAAATGCACAACCTGAAACTTTTATCTTGCTTAGACCAAATCTTATTTTTAATTGAATTTTAATTCAATTCAATTTAAACTAGGATTATCTCATCAAATTTTCTTTAAAATTTTGACTTCGTATTTTTATCTTTTTTGCAACTTATCTTCTCTAGAACTCATCACTTTATCTTGAAATTTAAATGTTTTGACTAGATAAACTTGCTCAACACGTCATCATCTTCTGAAACCTATTTTTTGAATTTTCTTAAAAAGCCGTGGTAAAAAATTGCCAACTAAAATCCTAATAGTTTATTATATTTGTATTGCATTTCCCTTTATCTTAGCTTATCGATTTAGTTAGTTTTACTTTTTTTTTAATATGTCGATCATATTATCTACTAGTTATTTCGTTATCGTTTTAAGAATGGTTTGTAAATACCGCTACTACCTCTTCCAATTTGGGACTTTTCCCTTTGACTATGGATTTGGCATGATCTTTCCTATTCCGCTACATCAGGAAAACTTTTTGGAAAAAAAAAAAAAAAAAAAAAAAAAATATATATATATATTGGAAAAGTAAAAAATAAGCCTGGTCTCTTTCATGTAGGTTTCAAGTGCCACGGCAACCCTTGTTATGGTATTTTCTTCATCCAATGCGGTCGTAGAATATTATCTCCTAAAACGATTTCCAGTTCCTTATGGTAATTTTCTTATCAACTTCTCCTGAAAAAAGGGTATCTGAAAATTTATGCTTGTTCTTTCCATGTTTTTTTTTTTTTTTTTTTTTTTTCATTTTTTTTTTTTTTTACATATATTTTCATTTTCAAATTTTATTTTATAGCTGTCTACTTTGCTGGTGTGGCCGCCTTTTCTGCTATTGTGGGGCAACGTGTGGTAGGAAAAGTGATTAGTTTAATTGGAAGAGCATCTTTGATAATCTTCATTTTGTCCTCAATGATCTTCGTCAGTGCAATAACGCTAGGTATGTATAAAACATACAAACAATCGAATATATTAATAATTTAATCTCTTGCAATTTATTAATCTTTTTCTTTCTCAAACAATAATCATGGAGGTTTTTCCTTGGCCTTGAACAGGTGGGGTAGGCATAGCAAACGCGGTTGAAAAGATTCACAACCACGAATACATGGGATTTGAAAATATATGCAAATCCTAATATTGTGCTTAACGTCTAATTCTCAGAGCTTTCCGATCTCCTCTCAGTCAAATATACATTGTTTAGCTAGTCCTCGTAAAAATGGACTACTGATAGTCTTTTATTTTTCATCTATTAGATTTGTATTAAAATCTGACTGTTTTGGATATTTTTTTAATCTAATATAATTTTGATTAGATTCAATGATTAAAAACTGTGACTACTAGTAGAGCGAACTACTGAACAAACTCTCAATGAATATTGGATTCTTTTTTCTTTTTTTTTTACGAGTACTTAATTCTTCTAATTGAGTAACAAATTGTTGTGACACTCGCCCTGTTATGCCAAATTCCCTTGAGAAAAAAGATTCTTTTTTTTTAATATGCTCTGTTAAAGCATCAAGTAGACTCGGAAAAACGATATGGTCACCTATGACGCTTTAGCAAGTTGTCTGTATGGACTAGCAAATTTACTTATTTTAGTTTCGTAAAAATGCTACTTACTATAATTTCTGTTCAAAAAATTAGAGGTAATTTTAACAAATATCTTTTAAAATAGTACCATTAAAAATTTTTACGTCTCAACATTAGCCTATTAAATTTTACTCTTTTAGAGTAAGTAATTTGACAGATTATTATAGATAATTTGACAGATATCACTGGTGGTAAGTCTCCGCTCGTCCGCGGCGAGCATAATTTGACAAAAACTGTTTAAAATTTGACAAATTATTATTTATAATTTGACAGATTATTATTAAATAAGTAACCTATTACAACAAAATGGTAGAACCCCATAAAGATGCATTTAAAGGTGATTTTTTGCATTTTTCTCATAAACCAAATGATCCAACCAACTCGTCGAGCCTAAAATTAATAGATTCAATGTTACTTCAGTATTATATCAGACACTGTCGAATCCCAACAGGAAACCTCCTATCATCATCGAGCCCACCACATCATCAAACTAATCTCTCAAGTCTTTTCTTGTCTTTGTGGGATGATTTTTATTTCATGTTGTCGTATGAATAGATGATGAGGGATTTAACTTAGAGAAAATTGTTAGACTTACTTTAGAATGTATGAATTTGTTTTTTTATCTCTTACTTTTAATTAATACTTTTTTAACTAATACAATTATTTAAATAAAAAAATATTAATCAAGAGTGAGATAAAAATACAAACTCATGAACCCGAAGGATATTTATCTTTTTTCTTACTTATGGCTTGAAAATGTGTATATTTGTTATTTTGAGCATGTCTTGTGAAGTTTAACATGCTTTAAGAGGTTCTGATGACAGCCAAAGCTCAAGCCAGTCCAATTATTTTCAATTGGGTGATATCACTTCATCGGATTGGATTGATTACAATTTAAAGAATTCTTACAAGAAAATTGTTTTAAGTTAAAGTTACCCTTAGTACATGAGTTTGAATATTTACCATTTACTCTTAATAATACCCTTTTGACTAACTGATTATTTGACTAAAAACAATATTAATCAAGAAGCAAAAGTCAAAATCCGTACAAGTATTTTTCTCATTTTCCCAATTCTTATTACATAATTGAATCGGATATAGATGCTGAAAAAATGTTGGTTTTGATCTAACGTCCACCAACAAAGGAAACAGAAAGAACGAAAGAAAGAAAGGACAAGGCAGTGGATGTGATGATGCTTTTGTCGAAAAAACTTGACCAAGGTCCTCAAGCATGTTTGAGTTTCCTTGTTATATTGATCCTTTTCCTTTTTACACTCTTTTTTTCGCTACAGAATTAGCTCACTATCTTTTCTCATATCAAATTCTTAGCAGTAAATATATACTAATGAGTATAATTTTCTATAGTTCATCTTTTGTGACTTTATCTCTGGCTTTCAAGTGTTTGTTGATGGATCCCGCCAAGTCCTTCAAGCTGGATTTCGTAGAAAGTTTGATCTGTAACCACCAGAAAAGATTCTCGATTGGGTTAACCATGGATTGTGACCATGTTATGACGTGGAAAATCGAAATTAGTTGCGAAATTACCGGATTCGTTTTATCACCAGCTTTGTAGAACAAGAGTGAAGGATAGTCAACAACCTGCATCTACAAAATCATTAATTTCATTTGAGCTGGATTTGAGTTCATTTAGCATTTATTGATCCATTAATTTGACAACAAAAAACAAAACAACTGAAGTTTTTCAAAATACTTACATGCAGCTTCGGATGCTCATTCATTGCAGCATCAAATCTTGCAAATACTAGATCTGAACCTCTGAAGTGCTTAGCTAACTTCTCTACTTGCTTGCTTGTGGTCTCACAATTGATGCACCATGGTGTGAATACCTATTTCGTAATATTGAATACGACGTTTGCAATTATTTTCCTCAACCAAAAACTTGAAACCATTTTTTTTAAGGGGGAATTGCGTGGTTCAAAAGACGCACATTCTATCCAATGAGGAAGCATAGATAATAGATACAACATACTACTGCTAAATATCAAGACAGGATGCTTTGCAATTCGAGAACTAGACAAAGGGAGTTCAAAATTCAGCAACAAGGAGGCAGATAAAAAGGTGGTAATAAAATCATACCTCCAGAAGAACGTTTTTCGGACTATTCAAGACCAAATCTTCAAATGTTTTTCCCACAATGACCTGGATAGTCGCATCTGTCTGCAATTTCCACAATCACGAAGATAATATCAAGATTGCAAGTCTCGTATAAAATGCAAACAAAATGTTTGATGATATATAAGACTTTCTTGGATGTGAACTACTTATGGATTTAAATATACATACACATATACATATGTCTATATATATATATATATATATATATATAAGAAATTCCCTCATCCTCTTTACTGAGAGAGAGGAAGAGAGAGAGGCTCACATTATCAGGGATGGGCTGTGATTTGAAGTACGGAGCAGGAGTACCATCCAGAAGCCTAGAGCAGAAGTCCTATAAAAGCAAATTACAAAAACCACATTAGCCTTTCAGTTTTTCTTGGTAGATATTTCTTCATAATGAAAACTCAAAAGAAGAAGCACCATCACCTTTATGTTGCTTGGTGTTGGATCTAACTCTAGGAGAAACTTGGAGCTCATATGATTATCAAAAGCAGTCACCTGTAACAGAGCAGAGAGGAAAGGATATCATCAATTTATGGATCATTGAACAAAGGAAACATACATAGAGAAACAGGTACTTAGTAACAAAGGGACTAACCACAGTGTCCTTTGATTCTTCAATCCCATATAAGGTTAAAAAGGGCTTTGCAAGGTTTTCATCTGAGATGTCGATATATATAAACAATATCTGCATGAATGGATTAAATTAGGAAAATTCATAGCACAAGAAGTTGCCCAATTGGTTTGAAAGCTTCAACTTTTATTCTCATTCACTACCTTTGACTTGAACTTTCTTGCAACATCTTGGAGAGGCTCAAGAAGTTTTTGGAAGCTATCCTCCTCTGCAAAAACAATAACCTGGACAGCAATGGAAAATTTTTGTTAATTTTAGTATTTAGAAGCATGTTTTCCCATTGAAAATTCTGTTGCTTGCAATAGTTGCTACTAGTAGAACAAATATTCTAATGTGAATTCTTATCAACAACTAAGTCAGTAAGTCTGGAAAGTTTCATCTTAAGCAATCTTTAACTCAAGAAGAAAGTTCAAAAAATGCATCATTGAAAACATTTCCCATATGATTACTCTAAACTCTAAACTTTTCTGGTATGGGTATGTTTTTGAAAAAGAGGCTATTACAGAGGCTGCCAGTTGTCGGCTCATTTTAGATAGACTAGTTTCAGTTGACATTTTTCTTGTTTTCTTTTACAAGTTAAGCAACTCAGGTCACAAAGTAAAACCTTCATAACAACTTCCATTACAAAATAATAAAAATAACAATTATAATAACAACAACAACAAAGGTTGGTTTATAGTAAGTTAAAAGAGAGAAGTGGGTAAATTGGGAAGTATCACTAACCTGAAGCTTAACAGGACTGGAATAAACTTTGACAGAATTTATCTCCGTCAGTTTAGTAACTAATGGAAACTTGTTGTACTCTAAAAACTGCAACAATTTATCCTTTTCAAATGTGGTCCCTTCTGCGATCACAAACATATAAGGTTAGCAAACTCTGGCTGACAGCCATAGTTCATGTAGCAATGAAACACCAGACTGGTGCACAAGGCCAAGTCCAAGAACTCAAAATATGTCTCTTTATGTTATTTACAAAATCTCCACTTGTTCAATGTAACCGGGCCGAAATAATACATATTTATCACGTCAACAAAGAGAACCACAAATGAAAGTCTTCAACACCCCACAATAAACGACATATAAATGAGAAAAATTAAAAATTATCAGGAAAAAGTAATTGAATATGAAAAAACAAAAAAAAACAAAAATTGTAGCAATATGGATATTCGGCAACTCACCAAATGCCGTGTATCTTTCTGGCTCACTTTTGACAATACCAAAGAAACTTTTGGTGGCCTTAATATCAGGGAACAGAACTTTGGCAACCTCAATGTTGTTAACCTCAATAAACAGAATTTCATTGTCAGCAATTGCCGCCTTCACAAATTCCTCATAATCAGGTCCCTGCAAAAGTTGAATGGCATATAAAGAAGCCGCTTAATTTGTCCATAACTGAAAGCGAAGCTAAAACATATCCGTTTAGTAAGCCAGAGTCCTAGTTTTCATTTTTAATGAAGGAGCATCACATCTATGAGTACAACAAACACAAGGAAAAAAAAAAAAAAAAAAAAAACGAAAGTAACAGCAAAGTGAACATCTTTGCAATATTTCTCAAGTAATCAACTATCACAAACCTTGAAATTTTCGAAGAAACCAATTGCAAATGTATGGTACTTCTTGACAACTCCTTCTGCCTCGGCCACAGAGTTTATTCTAGTCACAGGCACACCAGTCTTTTTCCTTGCCCATATCACTATTTCTTCCCTGAACCAAAATTCACCATGAACAAGAAATAAAATAAAATAAAAATCATAATCAACAAGAACCGTCATGTGTTATGTAGTGGAGCCTAACTATTGCACAGCCCGCGGTTATTTTTAGACAGATTAAAGACGTGTCAGGTGTGATTTCTCTTATAATTTTTTCCTTGGTGTTTTTGCAGCGCTTAAATGCGAACGTAGCTCGCGCATGAACCGCTATAAATTTTCCGTATTATTACCTAATTAGAACAAAATTAGGGTGACCAATTCTTAACATAACAATTCCACCATTAACAAGCATATGAAAAAAAAAAAAAAACACGACATTTCGATCAAAATTTGACGAGGTAAAAATCGCTTACGCAGAAAATCCACCGGAGTAGATTAGAGAAGTGCCATTAACGAAGAGAAGCAAAGTGGGAAACCCTTTGATCTGAAGAAGCGAAGCGGCTTTGGGATATCGATCGGCGTCAAGCTTGGCCATCAAAAGGGGACTCCCCAATTCCTTGAGCGAAGTCGCGGCCTGTGCGAATTGAGGCATGAGCTCGGCGCTTCTCGGGCACCATGGCGCGTAACCCAGAACCAGAACGAACTCATTCCCTTCGACGACCCTCTTCGTGTTATCCCCGTTAAGCTCAACCACAATTCTCTGCGCTTTCGTCAAGAGCTCGGCTTCCGAGGATCTAACTCCCTGCTCTTGCTGTTCTTCTTCTTGGTCTGCTTGTTCGTCCAATGCCAGTAATTCCTCGATGCCCTCCGAGTCTTCGTCGTCGCCATTGACGGGCTCGGAAGATAGGACGGAGGAGGAGAGAGTGAATAGTAAGAGAAGGGTGAGGGTGGAGAAGATTATGAATCTGGAGGTGGGTTTTGTCCTGGACATGGCGGTTTGTGAGGATTTTGCAGAGGGAAGAGCAGCACTTGCGGATCTTATGAGATCTGCACTGTCTCTGTGTGTGTGTGTGTGTGTGTGTTAATTAATGTGGCAAGGCAAGGTCGTGGGTTTGTTTGAGAGTCTTCGTTGGGAGTTTTTATTATTATTATTATTATTATTATTATTTGTTCTTTTATGCGGTGTGGTAAATATGAATTGAGAAGATCCTAGTTTACAGACGCAATCCATAAAAATGTTCAAAAAGTGAAGTAGATTAGTATCAGTCAAATATTTTTGACGGGCGATTTTGGACGGTCGGACTGCCACTTTGATTGCCTTGATTGATGGAGTTGCCTTCTTTTTTTTTTTTTAATTTTTTAATTTTTATATTTGTTTTTTTGGCTATTGATCTATTGTTATCGCCACACACACACGTTTAACGACTAACATCCATTTCATTAAAATAAGTAAATATATGAATAAATGAGTCTAACGTGCATAGCATATTTCCAAAACGACAATGCGGTTCGTCGGTTCCAGATGAAACGACAAACTATACTTTTACTACCCAAAAACGACATCCAACAAAGAATTAAGTGGCTTGTCGTTTCTAGGAACGAAGGGCAACTCGCTTTTATGAATAACGACGTGTAGTTTGTTCGACTTGGTAGAGTACTTTTACACCGATAGTTTCGGGTCGTTTTATTTTTGTTCTAAAAATTATAAAGTCTAGCGTGCGTGCCATAGTTCTTTAATGCCACAATCTGATGTCGTTTATATCTATAATGGACAGAAAAATTGATTGGGACCGTCATGTCGTTTCGCTTAACAAACCACAGGCACCTTTTCATAGACAACGGAATGTTCTTTGTTCCATTTGCTAAAGTACTTCGAAACGTATAATGACAGCATTTTACCGTAAGAAAATTAAACGAAACATCATTTGAGGCACATTTCCTTAAAGCCTACATGATCAATGAACAACATTTTCTCCTCTACAAACGACATTGAATTATCTCATTCTCAACGACAAGTCCTTTTTCCAAATGACAGAAGATTGACTGAACCCTCTTGTCGTTTGTAGGAACAAACAACACTCAACTTTTTTTAGAAAACTTATTACTGTAGCAAATTTGTCAGCAAGCCGACATGTCCTTTCATAACAGAACTTTTGAGTAGCATAACAAACGCCATGTCGTTTTGCTTAAATAACGGTGTCAAAAATCTGGTATTAAACGACAAGAAACTTCAAAGGTGAGAACGACCTGTTGTTTGGGAATCAATATTCTTTTGTAACACTATTTCAATTAATCCCCATATATACACATATATTTTGTTTTGTTTTGCACCCAAAAAAAACCGAAAACTGAAAATAAATGTAGTTGGATAGGGGGTAATCCATTTCTTTGGCCTTTCTTTTTTATGTTTTTTCCCCTTGGTTTTCTTTCCTCAATAAAATTTACAAATGCCTCTGGAATGTTAGGTTCCGTTTAGTAGGAGGGATGAAGAAGATGAATGATAAAAACTAGAAAGAGTTAGAGTAGTGGAGAATATAAAAGATGGAGAGAATTGTGGTAATTCTTTATGTTGTTTGGTATGAGAAGAGAAAAGTTAAGAGATGGATAATGATTATTTATAAAATTATTATATTGCCCATTGTATTATTTAGTAATAATTTTTTTAGAGAGCAAAATGTACTTTTCATTTTAAATATGAGGAATTTGATGAATCCTTCCATCAAAGGAAGGATTTAAATTTGTAGACTCAAAAGAAGAACCTCTCCCATTCACTCATTCATCTAACTAAATAACGGAATTGTCTTTACCCCCAACATACAATCATAAAAAACAAAAAAAGCATACCTTTTTTTCAATCATTTCCTCCAGATTAATTTGGACGGGACAGAATATTTCTCAATGGCCACCTTGATTCAACACAGAAATCCATTCCCTGACATTTCCAGTCCCACTCTACGACACGAGTATAATAACAAAAATAATACATATATCAAAACAAGTATACGTATAATTGTATGTGCACACATAATTTATTCTGCACAAAAACCTTTTGCGAAGACTCAGGAGAGAGCAGACGACGACAAGGGCAGTGAAAATAACTCAGTCGTATGTGCAAGAATTCTTCTTGAACTTGATGGGTTTGGTTCTAGTGGAATCGATTATCACAGGGCAAGAAATTTGCCTCTTGTGCTTTGTCCTCACCAACTTTCCCACCACATTCCCTCGTGACCGAATCTCGAAGTTTAACGTCAACGGTACAACGACACCGTTTTGGGACACCGTTAAGGTTGACCCAGCACCGTACAGAGGAACCTTCGTTCCTTCCAAGTTCACCAGCACACTTCTTCGGCTCTTCCTTGGCTGATAATATTTCTTCAACTGTAATCACAAAATACAAATATTAAACAAATGGAATTAATTGAAAAAATTCTTCAATCGGGTGAGGAAAAAAAAAAATACTATATTACCAGGAAGGCTCTGCTTTAAATCATCAAATTCGGTTAGTTTTGTATGTTTTTTTATGTGATTTTAACCGAATCAAACGTGACAGAAAAGTAGTTTTACCTGACCAGTTGCGACGGTTATCTCTGAATAAACAAGATTCATGGTCTTTGAGCTAACGTGAATGCCAAATATTGTGGCTGGGTTGTAGACGCTGAGTTTTAGTGATCCGTTCACCGTTAGCATCTTTGTTGGGACCCCACTGAAGTCTGAGCCTGACCCAACATAGAAGTTATTCACTGCGAAGCTCTGCAAGGATTAAATCCGGTTTTTTTAAGGGACTTTTTTCTTTCTTCTTTTTGACGAAGAAAAAAAGTATGAAGCTACTAATGAACTTCATGTGTTTCAAAAGATTGAGTAGTCAACAATACATGTAATGTCAAGCTTATGAAAATTCCGAGTTAGAGAAAAGAATCTAAGACCCTTTTTTTTCCTTCTTCTCTAATACTAAGACCACCAATCTATGAGCCAAGTAACTTCACTCTCATGAACTGATTTCTAAATGATACATAATTTTAATATACTCTTATCTCCTTAATAAAAGAATACCAAATATGTGAAAATTATACCTTCTTTTACATTATATGAGTCCATATTCTACTTCTTTACCTCTATACTATTCTTACAAGTGCTAGAGAGAACTTAATTTTAGAACACTGTTAATATAGGTCCAGAAACTACATAGTACATACCTAAAGAGCAAAACAATATCCAATTCTCACAAAAACATCACCAGCCACATATCAAAATAAAATAGATAATTTAAACAAATTGTTCCTATTTCCAATTCAATGGCCTTTCATGATAAAGGAATGAATTGAAAACATAAAAGAGAGAAAAAAAAAAAAAAAAAAAACCCTACTTAAAACAAGTCTAATTAGACATGAAATTGAAAAACAAGTTTCAAAACTTGGCATGCTTACCTTGACGGTAATCTCAGCTTTGAAAGGCCTACTAGCGCCCCATATGATCAAGCAAAACACAGTAAAGAGCACAAAGAAGCTAAACAAAGCGATTAAGGCCTGCACACGCCTAGGTAAGGCCTTGTCCTCGAGATCATCATAAGGCCCTTCCTCCAATATCACATTGCACTCCGGCCACCCCTTGTCGTTCCTGCCGTGTTTTCTTCCTCCGCCTCCTTTCCGCCCCGATGACGACCGGAATATCCCCGAGAACCGGCTGGCCGACGAGTTCCTCGAGTGGCGCCCGAACGAGGTGGACGAGTGCGACGGCGACTCCATCGGGCTGTTGTTGTAGATTGGCGTCGCCTGCATCGACGACGACGACTTGTCCCCGTCGTGGGAGTCCCTCGACGGGCTCTGGACATAGTACACCGCCCGTTTCGGCGACCGTGAAGGCGACGACGGGGCCAAGCTTGTGATATCCGACTCTGACTTTGTTGAAATCATCTTCACTATCCTATAATTCTATAACAAAATCATACATTACTAGTTCTTAAATATGACAAGACGAAAAAGTGAAGAAATTAGAATAAAGAAGCTTTGTGAAATTGAAGTATTAACACACCCGCCACTTGTAGAAGATAAAATGCTAATGGTTTTCCTATGAGAAAGAGGAGAGTGCTCTGTTTTTTTTTTCAGAAGACCAATTGAGGTTGATAAACAAGCCACGCTTAGTAGAGCCAAAAGAAGGAAAGCATAAAAATATATATGATATATTATTTGGCTCGGAACACAAACCTTTGGACCAGACTTTGTTTCTCTTGTTCTATTATTATTCCAAGCTCTTTTTAAGTCTACTATTAGTGTTAAGTGTCGGCAGAATATTCGTGCACATTTTTTTATTTAGTGTAGGTTTGTGAATAATATGCTCCTAGTCAGTAATGGCCTTTTTTTTTTTTTTTTTTTTGTTTGATGAGAGTTTTTGACAAAGAACCTAATAAGATTCGGAGTTGAGTGTTTGTTTCATTATTTATGGTCCACCCACTATTACTGTTTGATTGTTATTTTATTTATTTTTTTGGTTGCTAAATGCCAAAGACAGCTCGTTCTTTTTTGTGTCTTCTTTTATCTCTTAGTGAGTGCGTGACTGGTATTATTATAATATCCTTTTCTATTATTGTGGTTTTCTTAAGATGTGGATGTGGATGTGGATGTGTCACTTGTCTTGGCAACGTGGAAAAAAGGAATAAAAGATCTACTGTTTTCGTTTGTTTTATTAATCAGGCAAGGAGAAAAGGTCTGTGTGTATTGCTAGAAATGAATATTGTGTATTTTGGATAATTAGTAATTAGTTGTGCGTGGGCCATTACTCAATATCATTTTTTTAAGCGTAATCATTTTGAATAATACTTTTAAAATATGTCATTTTCATCAATAATTTTAATCCAATGGATATGTTAATTTTTAAATGTTAGATACTATTTGTCGTCAAACTGATCAATGTTCAAAACAAGAAATAGAAATTGAAAATAGCGTAAGAGATTGCCTTATTTATGATCAATAAAGAGTGAGAATATAACCACCAATAAGTTTGATATTGTCATAAAAAAAAGTATTTCATATTGGAAGGTGAGAAATTCTTTTCAAATAAAAAAAGGGATCGAAATCATTCAATGGCCAACAAAACATACTGTCATACGTTAAAATCCCAAAATTTAATTTAGGGTTTTGCGATTGCTAATTCTCAATTGAAAAAAAAAAATAAAACGTATTTTTTAAAAGAAATAACAGATAATAGGGGAAAAAATTACGATGGGACTATTTGAGAAACAAAAAAATCGAGAAAAGAAAATTAGACTGAATATTTTTATATTTAATAAAAAAGGAGTGAAACGGTTCAAAAAAAAAAAAAAAAAATAAGAGGAGTAATTGAGAAAGACGACGTGCCATATTTAGGAAAAGAACGACTTGCCGTACCTTTGTTGGTGTCGTTTGACTTGAGACTAAAACACGACTTGTCGTTTTCTTCTTTAATGTAAAGAATTAAAAAGAGTGTTTGGAAGCTGCTCTATTATATCAGAGCCAGGTTTCGATCCTGGGACCTGTGGGTTATGGGCCCACCACGCTTCCGCTGCGCCACTCTGATTTGTTGTATGTTTTAGTAACTACATTTTTATTTAAACCTTTTTATTTACTAAAGCTAACAAAAGACCAAATTTTGTAGGAGACGAGGCGGTGCATCGGTGGCACCACGTAATCAGCACCAACAAATTATCAATTAATTTTAGCAGCAGATTTTTCAAGAAATAAATTCATAATTATTTTTGATTTACGTATATTTTTTTAAAAAAAAATATTATAATAAATAATAAATTATAATTCAAATCAAATTCTTAAATTTTTAAACTAAACGCACCGAAAGTCCTCCCTCGCGCTTAATCTCGGCCTCACCAGCTTTATCCACACCAATCGTTATCCTCGTGATACTGACAAAAGCGAGTGAATGCAGAGAGATACTCATCATCGTCATCGATCGATGTATGGAAATTAGAATCTCGGCTAACGACGTGGACAAACTCCCAAAACTAAAGGAGAGAAAACGACACATAAACCTAAGTGATTGAACCATGTGCCACCACCTTATTATTATTTAATTCTATTTAAAATTAAACTCCTCCTCTACGTTTGGAGATCGGTAAAAGATAAGCTCCCGAGTCTGGGTTAGGTCCTTTATAAAAGCCTCCTTTTTACTTTTCTTTTCCTTCTAATATTTTTTTTATATATATAAACACACTTGGTGATATATAGGAAGAAGCTTCAAGAATAATTGCAGATCTCCAACTGGTCTTAGGGAACGAGAGAGAAAAGAGAAGAGAGAAGATGTTGGAAGGAAAAGCTTTGATTGAGGACACAGATATGCCGGTTAAGATGCAGATACAAGCCATGGCTGCTGCTTCTCAAGCTTTGGATATCTATGACGTCTTTGATTGCAGATCTATTGCTGCCCACATAAAAAAGGTCTCTTCTAACTCTCTCTCTCTCTCTCTCATTATTGGTGTAAAGATGAAAATTTTATATGTTTTATAAGCTGAATTTTTTGATTTCATGTGACTACAGGAGTTTGACAAGAGATATGGACCCGGTTGGCAATGTGTTGTGGGATCAAATTTTGGGTGTTTTTTCACTCATTCAAAAGGAACTTTCATCTACTTCACTCTGGAGACTCTCAGTTTCCTCATCTTCAAAGGGGCCACTTCTTCTTCCTCCTCACCGTGACTCCAAGACAGAGCATTCTTTTAACAGCAAAGAAAGTTGGAGAAAAAGAAATGAAATGAAATGACCTTTCTTTCTCTTATTTTTCCTGAACCGGTTGATGATTGGGTAGACAAAATTGGACAGGGAGACTAGAGAAAAAAGGAGGGCATTTGACACTTTACGGCAAGTACCCACATGGTCATGTGGGGGCTTAGCTTAGGCTTTGTGAATAAAAAGCTTGTAGTGCTTCTTTTAGTGCATTTCAAATTGTCTTCTCTGTTTGTATATATTGAAGCTTTAACTATCATCCTATGTTAATTAGTGTTCCAACTTTGATGGGTCACCTTTTCTTTGTTGATGATTGATTGCTAGGAAAGCTTATAAAAGAGGAAAATAGATGCAATACATTGTAAATTTGGATCCCTGCAAAACAAATCAGCGGTTGCATAATATACACTTTAAGCAAATGTTGCTGGTATTAGTATTGGAAACACAATGCCGAAGAGCTGAAATCAGAGACCTAAAAATGTAATGGGTCTATTTACAGTTGCATAAGTATGTAAAATTGATATAATCTTAATAACTAATAATGGAAACTGCTAGCTTTAACATTCAAAAACAAACTGAAACAACATAAGTATCCTTCAACAATATCAAATGACGGGCGTTAAGGACAACATAAGTATCCAAAGTGTCACTCCCCAAATGGGGGGGGGGGGGGGGGGCGGATCGCCGC